TGGACACATTTTTAGCTCCCGTTGGAGCTAAACAGATGTGATATGTTAACGTTTCTCCACCCCCTGCAAAAACAAAAACACCCCACCCACCCTGGAGGCAGTTTTGCATCATGTGCAAACAGCAAAGCACAAAGACATTTACCAGTTCTGCAACTTTTATGATACACATTTTCTTCCAGTTATTATAGTTATCTTGAATTAAAAGCTTACAATCAAATACAAGACACAATGGCTATTCGGAGAGAGTGGTTTGCTTCATACTATTGTGGGTAGTACATTGATCAAAAAGCTAAAAGCAACACCTCCCAGTCTCCCAAAATACAGTTAGATTTCTTTATATTAGCATCCTATTCTTCATTCATTTAAAAACATTAGCAATATTAATTATTACTCAAGTATTATACAGTGTAACATACACAACATTCCAGCTGAGTGAGACACTTCGAGCAATATCGAAACAATTCTCTCATGTTATGAAGCACCCTTACGAAGCACCACGTTATGAAGCACGAGGGACAAGGCCTGAAAAAACAGCTCCAGTGAACACAAGAACTGGTTGCTAAAATACATTTTGGGGAGGAAGAAAGGGACAACAGAAAGCTCTGCTGTAAGGTAAAGGAGAATTTACTGAGGGGCGTCCAAACCCAACACTGTTACCAACCAAGACCAAGGACTCAACTCTTCTCAGTTGAGTCAGTCCACCTGTTTCTATTTATCCACCCAGCAGCCTTTTCATCTCAGTTCCCACATTTACTTTCAATGCTTTCCAATTCTTCATCACCATGTCTTACACTGAAGCAGAGAATCTCTGCTTTGCAAGAGAAAGGAAGGTATTGCGAGTGATGGCTTTGTATGACAGTATTAACCAAGGTATTAAAAACAGATCAGGTAGCAGGAACTAAGGAAGAGACTGGAAATCACAATTGCATAGCAATTACTTCAAATAAAATTTTGAGATTATACTCTGAAGTGAATAAAAAGATTCCATACTTTCATTTAAAATTTTACATCATATTTATTCATTGGTGCAAAAGTGATCTTGATTTTCCTGACTAACAGTTATGCAGATTTACCCTGTGATCTGAAACACAAATTGTGGTTTGTTTTGTTTTTACTGCCAGTAATATACAATTATGCAGCTGTAAGTGCATGCATGCATTAGAGGCTTCCATATCCTTATCATTGCTCTGCAGTCATATCAGGAATAGAAAAAAGACAGTAAGATATACGACTGTCTCTAAAACAAAGATTACTTGGAGAACAGAGACAGTGGGTCATTTTTACCAAGCCAGTTTTCCTAAACACAACCAAGTTACAGATTAATAGAGTTAATTGATCGTAACAGAAGAACAAAAGCTTACCTATTACTAGGGGTCATTCTTTGTCATCTGGAAAAGCACACAATTTTTCCAACTACTCTGTCAGCTTTCCCTGTCTTTTAGTGAAGAATAACACTTAAGAAAATGGGCATTTTATTGCACAGGAAGCAAAAGCTGAGAAAATACGTGAAACAAGAAAGAGAAAACCATGAGCTAGAACACAATCACACAGTCTCTTCAGAAACAGCTGTAGCAACTTTATACCAACAGCTGCTCATTATCCACCCTCTGCTGGATGACAACTGCCCCAAAGCTGATGGTACCCCTGTGCAAGAGAGCAGTCCCACTCTGATTCAATGCAAGCTGCCAGTCAGCACTTCTAGATTAGCAGGCAAACCTCAAGAGCAAAGAACTATCAACTAAAACAAGAATTCAGCAGCTACCTATTACTGATCCTTTACTCATATAAACCTTTGACCTGCCCACACATCAAGCCAAAATATAAGGAGTCACTAAGGAAAATACCTAGTTTTCCTCCTGACCAGTATGCAGCTGCTCTGTTTCAATGTTGTGACTCTTTTGTTGTAAAACAATTCATATTCACTTTTTTTTCAAATTCACTTTTTAAAAAAAAAAAAAAAAAAGTTGACACATTCTGCTCTAAACCTGCATGAAAACTATCTTTAACACTTGCATGTTTTTCCCCTTCCTAAAACCTCAGGACTCTTAAAGTAATACTAAGAGAACCACAGATCAAACTTTCAGAGGAGGGACAAATGTTCATGGTTCAGTAATAAAAAAGTAGTTTTGAAAGCAATAAATTTAATTACACAGTTCCAACGGTCCATGCCAACAATGATATCATCATCGGCACAGAACAGTCTTCATAAAATTATTAAGTGTAATAAACTTCGTTACAGAAATACCAGGAATGACTGCGAATCAACCCTTAAAAGTCAAATTAAAAAAAAGGTATTATTGTAACCACGTAAAATTATCCTTGCTTCATTACCAGTTCACATTTTCTGTAGGCATTCCACCTTTGGTCTAGAAATATGTTCTAGCTGAGTCATATTAAAGTAAAACGTAAAAAAAAATTCTTCTAGAAGATTAATGTCAAAACTAGCAAGATCACGTTTACATTAACAACTATGCTAGTTTACAGATGGCATGAGAAAAATTTAGACCACAAATTCAAAGGCTTCCTCAACTTGTCCAAGAACTACATTCACAGCTGGGCAGGTGTAGAAAGACAGCCTAAAATTACACAGTAGGAACTGCTGAAGAAAAAGGTCCATCTTTATTACTGCTAGTCCCTTTAGGACCTTTGGTACCTAAAGTCCTGAAGGCATCTATGTGAAACTGAATACTCACAGAATCGTTGAGGTTGGAAGGGACCTCTGCAGATCATCTAGTCCAACCTCCCCGCTCAAGCAGGGGCCTCTAGAGCATATTGCCCAGGATCACATCCAGACGGCTTTTGAATAGCTCCAGGGAAGGAGACTCCACTACCTCTCTGGGCAACCTGTTCCAATGCTCTGTCACCCTCACAGTCAAGAAGTTTTTTCTCAGGTTTAGGTGGAACTTCCTGTGGTTCAGTTTCTGCCCATTGCCTCTTGTCCTGTTGCTGGGCACCACGGAGAAGAGACTGGCCTCATCCTCTCGACACTCCCCCTTCAGATACTTATACACATTGATGAGATCACCTCTCAGTCTTCTCTTCTCCAGACTGAACAGGCCCAGCTCTCGCAGCCTTTCTTCATAGGAGAGATGCTCCAGTCCCCTCTTCCTCTTTGTAGCCCTCCGCTGGACTCTCTCCAGTAGTGCCATGTCTCTCTTGTCCTGGGGAGCCCAGAACTGGACACAGTACTCCAGGTGAGGCCTCACCAGGGCTGAGTAGAGGGGCAGGCTCACCTCCCTCGACCTCCAAAGTCACTTACTGAACATAAGCTCTTAAATCATCTTCCTGAGTACAGATGATCGGTTTGGTCTCTCTTTTTAAAAGCTCAGCTTGGAGGTGCACCAACCAACAGGCTAGTATATAAAAGGTGGGCACCATATTCATCTCTCTTTCCTCTGGTAATCACGCTCTTGCATGAAAGCATGCATGCAAGTCTTGCATGACTGAGCTGCTACATGCTGGTGGGATATATGAATATGCCTTGACCACACTTCCTTATCAGGCCCCTCAAGGGGTTTAGGTGAAGGGACAGACACTCTGTGAAGCCCAAGAGAGATTAATTTGTAATTTAAATCAAAAGATGGTCATATTTTGGACCACACACAGCAGGAAAATTTCAGGCACTTAAGTATCTTTATTAGGGAACATTTAACTGGCTGCAGGCTTTCAAACACAAATAACTCATCAGGGATTCTTTGGATTGTTCTGCTGCACTTGGGCTACTCTTCAAATCTATCTTTAAGAAATGACTCAAAGAGAAAATATAGATAAAAAACAGCCTGAAGGCAATGCCGCAGGACTTGCTTACTCATTACAATGTAAAACACATATACATATATATATACACACACATACATATACACACACACACAGAGTAGTAATGTAATAGAAGTATTCTAACGCAATTTCAAAAAAAGGGTCTTGGCCAGCTAACTGGAAAATAGAAGTTTTCCCCGCCCCCACACTCCTTCAGAGCACTTTCACATGCAGGAAGTATGTTTCTAAAATTAAGCCACCTATTCTAGGTAAAAAATGATAAAAATGTAACAGGACAAAATGAATGTGAATTAACAACGTTGTACCAAAATGATGAAGTCTCTAAGTTTGTATTATTTAGTAGATAGTTATATAATCCTTTAGTTGCCACCTTCCCATCCCCATTTTCCCTGAATTAACTTTTCTACAGGAATATTTGAGAATGTCATCATCTTAACGTCAGTAGGAACTACCTAGCATTAGAGAGGGCTGCAAAATATTTTTCTATCCAATCCCTTTCACAAAAAAAAATGCTCTCAATAATAGTGTTTTGCTGTATAAAACAATTAGATCTTTTATTATGCGATGAGCACAGGAAACCAATTTTTTTAGTTCAAACAAGATCAGCGCCAAGATGGGTCATGTAATAAATAATTTTCTACACACCGGGAAAACTGAAAACAACCATTCAAAAAAAAAAAATAAAAGAATGGAACTGTTAATGTTAGTGTGCAATCTCTTGTACACATTCTGCCTCACAAAGTAAGAGCACTGTCAGCTTATCTTTAGTAATCAAGGTTACAGGTCCCTTTAGTTTTCTAACAGCAACTCAAATATGAGGAGGTGCATGCAACAGCAGCTACATGTTCTTCTAAATAGTTACTACAGACGTAATGACACCATGCAATATGCAACTCTGCAACCTACTACTGAGGAGTCATTTACAAAATTCACACTAAGCCCTGTAAAACAATCTCTTGCTCAAAACATGGCTAGGTTTATCAAACAGCTTTATCTTCTCACTGGCAAAGAATTAAAGCAGTAGATCTCTAATTCAAGACTTACTGCATTTAATATTCTTTTCAAGGGAGAAAAATTAAAAAAAAAAAGCTGTAGTAGTTTCTTAAGGATATCCACAAAGCAATTCAGAATGTAACTACTTCTAAAAAAAGATTTATTTTCATCCAATCTCTAATATTCTAGAAGGAGTATTTCTGACTAAAGTAGATAGAAGTTCTACATACCTCAAAGCCAAGTCTATCTTTCTCTTTCCAAAAACAGAAATGTGTAACCTTCTTGTCCCAAAATTCATCTGGCTTTACTACACAAACAAGTGATACCTCAGCGGGAACAACATTCTGTAAAACAACAACAACAAAAGTAAGTAAAATATTCAAGATTAACATCTGAATTCCATTTATATCGCACCCTCTATTCAAGAGCTTAATATTTACAGATATAAATTTTAAAAAGTCATCTAAGCATCTAAGATGCTTGTTGGCACCATCCTCTTACGAATTAGAGCGCACTAAATCCCATAGAAAGATATTGTCAGAATTAAAAAGAAAATCTAGCCTCTCTACTCCCAATATCGTGGTATAACCACTGGTAGTCCATGCTCCATCAGTACAGAATATTTATTACTGGTTCGACTGCATTTTATTTATGGTACTTCATTTAAAAAAAAATTAAGAAAACAAAACTTTCCACCTATGCCCTCTGCTATATAGCACCTTGAGAAACTTTTAGAAAAAAGTCTAAGCTTTAAGAAAAATAGTATTTGAAAATGGGCAGAATTCAAAACATTGTCAAAAAAGTAAGAAGAGACACGCATACTTTATTGTTAAATCTTGAATCAAGATCATATCCCATATCTCTCCAGTACATATTGCTCAGAATACAATGACAGGACAATATTAACATATAAATATATTAATAAAGGTATCATTGGGAAAGTTTTCAGCCTAACACACTAATTTTATCTACCGATGACCTCAATACTCACAGCACTGAGATCAAGATGACACTATGCATGCAACCTCTCTTCCAATACCTTGCTCAATTTCTAAAAAAAATAACTTTAAAAAAAAAAAAAGATGAGCTAACTCTATACAACTCAGAAATCGTAACTAATAGAAAAAAGGACCTATTTCAATCTTTCTCCATTTTAATGGAAACGCAAGTTACATAAAAGCATACAATATTTTTAACACAGAAGTCTCTCTTTGACGACCAACCACCATTTTCAGGAACTTGTTGTCCAAGCAGAGAGAAAATAAGTGGTCTGCAAAAACAAGTTGTTTTACATCATGTCAAAATTCTCTTTATTTCTCCCTTCTCAAATTTAATTTATAGATGTGCAACTTATGTTTCTGCAGACTTCCACCGGTTACAATGTCAGGAAGCCAGTGAAATCTGAGCACAGGCAAATAGCTACCTTCCTCACTAGCCTGAAGTTCACATTAAATGTCACAATTGTGTATTAACCAAAGTGAAGGCTCAGTTAAGACCACAACTGGAAGGCAATGGACTGAATTACTATGTCCATTTGTAAGAATAGCAATTTAGCCAAAAGTAGATGAAAGACACCTTGAAACCGACCAAAGAACCCATGAGGTCAAACTTTGTCCCGTAGGACAACAAAATCAAATTATTCATATCTGACACACTTTCTGAGGCTTCATCTAAGTCTGCGAAGAAAATCACTCTGATAAACAGAGACCACTTTTTCCTCAATCATCATCCGTGGAGTTAGAAAGGCAGTAATTGAAAATGCATGACAGTTCTTTAACTTATTCACGTGCTGTATATTACAGTTTCTTTCACCTTTGAGTCCACAGAATAACCTATATTGTTTGGCAAAAATCAGATGACTTTATAATGAGCCCATAGTTCTGAAGAAGTAAAACAATAAATTATGGAATTTTGAAATCGGTAATTGGCACCTTTTTTCCTACTTTGTAGAACTTTTGCCTACAGATCTTTCTGCCATTCACAATTACGCAGACTGATGATGCCAGGAGCAGACTTCTGTATTTTTAAACTAAAAAGGTTTCATACCCATTGTTTTAGAAAAGTTCTGAGCATGTAATGAATTTGTCCCCGACTTGAGTAAAATGTATCATTCTCTTTTCAGATTGTTTCTTCCTGCACAAAAAATTTGTCACGGAACAAATTTGACTGTGATTTTTAAAACCATAAATTGTCTATTTATCAATAAATTACTGCTGTTACAGTAATGCAGCTAATTGGGCTTGTATCTATAAAACTAATCTCTCAACTACGAACGTACAAAAAGAGATTTACCTGTAGCATTAGCACAACCGTCTTTACCACGTTCCATTGAGATTTTCTGCCGTCCACTATCACAGTAAATCCTCTAGCTTTACATTTTTCACTAAAAGAAGAAAAGTACTTAGAAATAAAGTCAAATTCATGAATAAGCGTCATATCACAGTGACTTTGAACTTCAACCCTACTGAAAAACAGCTACAGTTTTTTTTCTTATAAGTATTTTGCCTTATAAATATGAAGTATGCTCAGTTAGAATAGTTTTCATTTTTAATGCTCATGCATATTAATAGATATTCCAAACTATAATTTGGCAGTAGCACTGAAGTGTGTTTCATAATACAAACATTTCTTTAAACCTCTGTACTTCTGAAAAGGTTTTATAAACATAAAAAAAACCCTTCAAGTAAAACCTCCGAAAGATAAAATAGAGTCATTTGCAATTTAGTAAGGAAGGCAAAAGAACGCTAGTTTTCATAGGAACACTTTCAAATTGGTGCAGACTTGAGGATACAACTAAAAATCACTTGACACATGTCCAAGCAGGAAGGCATCTAAATACAGTTAAATTCCTTTTCTGAATGAGTGTCCTCGTAACTACAGTGCACAAAACGCCTCTACAGGGACAGAGGCTTTATATATAGTTCTATACAGAAAGTATTTTAAACTGACAGTGTCTTCTTTTTTTTCTTTTTTTCTTTTTTTTTTAAATGAAAAGGTTTGAGTCTGCGTCCTACAAACAAAAACTTTGCCGAAAGAACAACAAAGCCAAATATTTGAAGGTATTTCTGCTGAAGTACCGAATGGGAAAACACAGTGAAAGCTTTCCTCACTCCAGGCACATCACCACAAAGACCTATCCTGCTCGTTTCAAATGAAGCAGGCAACAAGGAGCTCACAAAATTGGCTGAGCAGTCAGTTCCAAGAGGGCAGCAACCTCTGGACGTGACCTGCTCACAATCAGCGCAGCAGCAGCCAGAAGAGGGCATGGAAACGAGCCCGTAATTTTAGCATCAGACACCACAGCATTCCTCAAAATAAAAACTCTCTCCCTCTCATAAGGAAAAAGTAGAAGTACATTCATGGGATGTAGCCCTCAAAGCATAAGACGCATTCACAAAGTACATGCAAGTAGTAATTTTTAAAGGTTTACAACTTTGTAACTTTTGGTGGAATTCAGATCAGCATCCCTTGCCAAACTCTAAATCCACATGGAAGTCTGAAAGCTTCTCAGACGTGAAGGTGCTACATAATTTCTAATCATTGTTTTGCTCTTCTAGTCTTCCTTTCTGAAATGGAGAACTAGAGAAGTTCCCTTTTCCTGAACTGTAAGGCCTGATATTGCAGCTTTTCAGGCTGAGACTTTCTATCTATCAGAGTGATAAGTATCTGAAAATAAACTTTATATAACAGGTAGAGGAACATTATGTACTCTAGGGCCCAGTCTTTCAACCTGCAATCACAAAACAAAGCCATTTCTGATCTCTAGCTTACAAAAAAGATGAAACTCGCTTGTAACAGCGAGCATTGTATCTCACGTGTTCAGAAAATTAACTGATTTTTAATCCATATTTAGGCTGCGCTTTATCAGCTGCGGGTGGAAGACAAAAAATTTATCATGTAATTTAAAAAAGGAAAAAAGGCATCCTATTAATCTATTCAGGAAAAAATTATTTATAAATTTGGCTGCCTCTCCATACATATGTTTGATTTTGTTTGTTTAAGGAACTTCTAAGATTATGCATATGATTATCCCAGAATCACTCAGAAAACTCAGGCCTTTTTTTGTCCAATGTTCAATCACAACAAACCACAGAGGCAGACCAACACTACTTCTAAGGGCAGCAAGATGAACAGTGTCACTACAACATTTGTGAGACAATGCTTTCTTATGCTCACTGGAAACTCGCAGTATCAGCACCTGTTTTCCATCATTACTTAACCCATTAAAAAACAAAACAAAACAAAAAAATACAAGTGAGCTACCAGTTCTGAAAGGTTTAGTCACTTGTCCAAACAAACGTTTAAAACGTTCAAAAACGTGGCATGGTATGCATAACTGAATTCAAAGGTAAACATATAAAGTTACTTTACATGCAAAACAAGTAACGTTAATGTTTCATGGAAACCCATCTGGGTTTTGGACAACACGTCCCCCTCCCCTCAAACACTGTTCAGTTAGACTTTTCAGAACATAAGAGGCAACTAAATAGTTCAAAGAGTACGCGTTTCCTACTAAGGAAATAACATGCAAACAAACATGACAATGATTTTTCCACACTGCCAACATAAAGAGAGGTCACTTTTTCCACTCCACTGACAAACAACATTAGAAATGGGAACATTAAACTTTTCTTTCACACAGATTTCCCAGTTTGCACAGAGTGCAAAGAGTAGTTTGGTTGAAAATGCAGAGTTACTTCTACACTACTATAGCTATAGCCATATATCAGCGTGAGACTGCAGAATAGTTAATGCTGGCTAGAACAGCAATGCCTGCATCTGTTCCGTAAACACAGCCAAGCCCTTAACTCAATGAGAAAGCTTGCACAGATGATGATCTGGGATTTTCATCATTTTAAAAATAACAACAAGCTGATTAAAAAAACCCAAAATTTCCATGACTAAAATGCCGTTCAATATATACGTCTACATTATGATGTTTTATGTGTAAGCAACCTGAATTAACTCTCTGCTTCCCTCTCTCCAACCAGAGCATTTTTTAAAAATACTCTTAACTACAAAAAAAAAAAAAAAAACAGATCCACATTTTTAAAGCATTTGTTGATTCCAACATGCAAAGTAGATTCTCTAATTATGTTAGTTTTTCTCTGCTTTCAAAAGACAAACTGAAATGGATAAAAATAAGCATTTAGCTGAGGTGCTTCTTTCCTTTATAAATCCACGTCAAAGGAAAATGAAAAACAAGGCTATAATAAAGACCAACCTCAGAGACTCTTAAGACAAAAAAAGGCAGCAACTAAGATAAGATCCAGAACTGTCACTGTAAGCTTGCAGGGTTACATGAGCATGATGATTTTACAGTAAGGTCTGAACAGCAGGATATTTGAGTTGTAATTCAGCACAATTAAGCACTCTCTTAACTTTAAACATTTGCATAAGCTCACTAACTTCAATGATATTTCATATATTTTTAAATTAAGCACATGCTTAAGCACTTCAGGCTACAAAAACAGGCACTTAGCAAAGAAAGGAAGAGGAAAAAGCTTTCTTAGTTTGAGTAAGTTCAGCAACTGCATGACTATCCTTGTAAACTTATGAGTTTCATTACAGTGGCTCATTAATTTATACAGCAATGTAAGCAAGCTGTCATTAAAAATGAAATTACTAGAGAGATTCCAAGAAAGGAGTGAGGAATACACACAGCAAAAAACAAAGCCACAGACATACAAAATAAAAGGATGTAAACAATCATTAGTAGATATACCTTAGTTTATTGAAATATATTGTTTCTAATTAAAGCAGATGGTATCACATTTTAACACAACTGTCCATGTAAACTTCATTTTGCATTAAAAGGTAAGGAAAAATAAAAACCAAAAAAACACCCCTCCTACCACCAGGAAAGCAAGCAGCCCTGAACAGAATGCCTTTGAAATTACCTTGGGATACTTAGAAGGTAGTCTAGCGTGACACTCAGCTCATCCATACTTGTCTGTTCAAGGCATAGTGGAATTGTCAGAATGAGGCCACTTCTTCTGTCCTTCCCTCCTATTTAGGGCGGGAAAAGATCATTAGAAAGATGGGATGGCTTTAAGGTAAAAGAAATACTTGATACTTACATGGTCTCAAAAGGCATCAGAAAACTAAAGTTACTACGAAAATCACAACTGAAGTTTCTCCTCTCAGTTGTGAGGATTCATTCACTACATTTATATTCAATGCACCACCAAGAGTTCAGAGCACAGATCCTATCTGTACCTGTCAGTCTTTTATCTACTATTCCAACATAAATAACAGCGTCAAAAATTAAGTCTCCTAGGAGCATTTTTTGGCATATCTAGATGATGCTTTCAAAGACGTATCTCCTAGACCTTCTACGCTATCAGTCTGTCAGTAACCTGGTAAGCTTCCAATGTAGGCACGTACACAGCAGTTCCCAGCCGCACTGCACGACCTCCTAGACACCTCCAGTACACAAAGGAGGGCCCTTTACCACACAGACCCATGAAAGCACATGTAGTTGCTTTCATCTTCAAATGCATGTTTAAACCCTTCTGGCATAAGTTATACCAACAGTACTAGCAACAAAAATATTGAAAAAGCAGGTCCCACATTTATCCTTCCCTTATGAGGTCCAGTAACATCAAGCAATAGGTGATGTTAATGTAGTGCATTCAAGCAGACTGTTCCACAACTCTGGCTTGGGTTATTTTTGACTAAACAAACATTCTAGAACATCTCTGGAAAGTACAGTTAAGAAAAGTGAGTTTTAAAGAGAGAGAAAAATTTCTCCTTTGATCTTTCTTCTAGAAGACTGAATTTTGAGTCACATGGGTATGAACCAGTAACTAGAATGGATTTGGACAGGGTTCTTTCTCCTGACTTAAATGGAAACTGAAGCCAAGCCCATTGATGATTACTGAATCGAGCCAAAAATAAATACTGACACAACTCCCGGATACATGCTTCTACTATGTCACAAAAAGGTCAACCAGAAAATCCTGTAGAATGAAGCAGACCAGTTGGGAGTGCAACCGACTTTTCGACTATCACTGTATCTCCAAGTACAGGAGCATCACGGGGGATATTTTGAAGGCAAAAGGCCTTGAGACCAAAACATTAGCCCCTAAATGGCTGTTATTTCATCAGAAGAAATAGAGAAGGTGGTTTGTTCAAAATGGCAAATATAAGAAGCAGTCAAGAGCTCCAAAATTTGTAAGTGGAAAGACGCAGCACAGCTATCTTTGCTCCCTTACTTAATCACAGAGTGTCAATGGCCAGCTCATTCAGGAACTATCCAAGCTTTCAGTATCTTACTGCTTTCGGCATAACTTCCAGAATTCTGCAAGTTCCAATGATGAAAGTGCCCAGGAAGTCAGAGTAAAGGAAGCGCAGAGAAGTACACAGAATTTTGTTAGAGCGCACAGCAGCCTGAAATGGTGGGGACAAAATCTAAGCGTCAAGAGGTTCAGAGCGAGTTTGAGAATCAAAGAAAAGGTTCATCACCAGTCACACAGAGGTTGATTAAAATCAAAAAAAGAAAAAAAACAAATAAAAAAGCACAAAGGGATTCAGACTATGGGAACACTTAATTAGAAACCCAGCCTCCACCTCGTTTTTCAAAGTAGCTGCATAGAACTGCTCTTCACATCTCCCAGTCCTGCCAATTAAGTTTATACTACCATCCTGGGCAAGCAGCTGTGCAGGGGAAACAAAATAAAACAAAGCCAAAACAACAACAACAAAACTTATACGTGCTTTTAAGATGCCAGGAGTTGATACAGAGATCTACCAGAAATGTAACTGCATCTTCTGAACATTCTTTATGCTCTGCTCTTGAATTTTGAATCATGTCTATAACGAACTTCAAAAGAAAGAAAACCTCATTTCAAAACCCAAACAAGTTTCTTTGTTTACCTTTTTTTGGAACGGACTGGGAGAAAGTAGAAGGGAAGTAGGGAAAAGAATTTGGTCAATAAGTAAAGAACATGAAGCGAACAAAACATATACTTCAGAGAAGGATTTACTGCTTGACTTTGCAGCTTATTAAACCACAACTTCAGCTGTCTTAAAGTTTGTTTTGTTTTTTAAATCTTCAGGCATTTTTTTTAAACTAATGCTTATATCTACATTAAACCAGCTTCAAAATAAGCTTTCCAGATTCTGGAGTAGTTGAAAGGCTTCTCCACTTTCCTTCGTTATTTTTAAGAATACTTTTTCTTTAATATTTCAGCTATACAAGAAAAAGTGTCCAAAATTACAAGGAGTCATTTACATACATTTAGGGGAGCATTACTAAACTATTTCCTCCAGATTTTAAAAGTGCAATCGTACAAGGAAGATTATAATCTCAGCTTCATTTGGGGTGAGAGAGAAGCAAAGTGATTTTCTGTGACCTGAAAATGAACTTTTTCCTTCAGTGATTTTAAATGTGTTGTTCACGTGGCTAAAGCCATCAAACTGTGTTTTTGCTTCCTACAGGTATAATATTTGCAAAGGCTAAGTTCAAAAGTTGGTTACTTTTAAGTTTAAAAAAAAAAAAAGTTGTAAAATGAAAGCACTACGAAAAATTAGTTGAGTAAAGAAGCAAGAAAACACTGTCACAAATATTAATGAAAATTAAAAAAGGAAAATGGACAGAATTTAGTCATCAACCTGAGTGAGCCTGTAATATGAAAAGTAAGACTGCAGTCATGAAGGTGCTTCTTACAAGAAACAACTGAAGGGCAGCTTTGGTCCAAGCTCCAGTGTCCAAAATACAATCATAATCCATGGCAACAGCTCAGGACTCTCTCTCATACCCCCTGCCCTCTACCCACTTATAAGCTCATGAGTGATCCTAAAATGGGTTTTCTGAAGTTGTTCATTTTCGTGAAGGTGTATTTGGGAGTGTACAAACACCCAGACACACCCTCACATTTATAGCAAGTCAGCCTTACCATAGCTGATTCATAACTGAGACTTGTTCTTCTGTAAGCTACTTGGAGAATTTATGACAAATGCTGTGAGACACACATGCCCAAATACTATTAACTATCAATATTGGTTCATGACTTGTTTACACAGAGTTGAAAGACTGCGCTGTTGAACAGGGTCTTTCTTATGAAAGTTTAGAACTGGCCCATGGAAGCCTACTCATACAAGAAAGCAGATACCTAGAACTTTTCACTTTTATATCTGGATTTAAACAGTATTCAATGAACTGACTGAAAATTGTTGACATTCCACAAAAAGACCGCAATAATTAGCTAAATTCTTCTGTTTTGGGACATTTCATCTTGTGCACAAACTAAATGGTTTTCCCCCACCCTGCAAACACTATTACTAGGATTCAAACATCCATATGCTTCCTGCACAGTGATTTTTGTACCGTTTTTTGAACGACTGCAATATAGGTAAGTTCAGGTAAATATCCTGCCGCTCTGTCAGCACAAAATGAGGACAAAGTCGGGATTATCACTGATTCTTTTCCCTCATGAAAAGTTATCTCTTATATAAACCACCAGCTATAACTATTATCTCTTTATCCTTCTAACAATCATTTTAACTCAAAACTGTATTTTAAAGGAAATATTGAAAAACTGAATAGGGCTTTAAAGGAATATTAACTAAAGTTATCCGTTAAGAAGAGTTAGCTATCATGGACGTAGCCTGTAACATTTCCCAATATTACCACGCTAAACAATAAAAATTATTTATTAAACAGTCAAGTAGATTTTTCTTTGATCTTAGTTATAACATTTTGATCTTAGCTATAGTATAGTAAAGCTAGACGTTGGGTAAATATTCGTCATAACCTTTATGTTTCAGAAAGATAAACCCAAACCAAATTGTAATTTTAGGTGTGGGGAAAACAAAAAAAAAAAAAATCTCCTTTGTGTCACAAAAAAGCACTACATATCTGAGTTTTCAGTCTTAGAACCAAACCTGAAAAACAAAATCAGGACAAATTAACATGATGTGCGTTGTAAACCAGCAGAAGCGCTATAGTTTACAAACTGGAAAAAGTAGATTTAAGCTAAAGAAAACTATAGTCGTTACAAAAGAAAAATTCTGTATTTTGCACAGTCAAAGTGGCTGCTTACTTCATTTTGTTGAGTCAGAGCTAACTTTGTCCTTTTTTTTGCTGCTATTTGTAATAACCTACCAACATGCAACCTACATGGCCATTTGCCACCTCTAAACACAGTTTATGGATTCCAAATCCAAAGAGACACTGCTCCATCAGGAATCACTGTTTTGCTTCCAGAAAAAGGTGAGGTCAACATTATATGTACTAAAGTAATGCGAAGAAAAAGAGAAATACAAACACCACCAGAGAGCATTTTCCTAAAATATCATTTCTCTGATTATTTGTTTTTATTGCTAATGTATTATGCATGAAACTACATGGAATAAAATTGCTTTAAAGAAACCACTTTACCTTATTCCATATCAGGTCCTTTTACTCACACTGAAGAAAGCTTAGAAGAACTATTGTATGAATCTTTACCATTTATTAAAGTGTCCATCAATATCACACAACTCCAAGAGGGCAAACCTACTTAGCAGCAGGTAAGTTCTAAATGGTTTCTAGCACTTAAACTGCCACTTAGTAAATTACTTTTCACTAAGAACATCTATATTTCAAAATGAAGCAGGCAGCTTTAATTGCCAATCTGCAAAAGCACTCTAGTTAATCAGAATTTCCTTGAGGTATAACGCTGATCAAACCACCATACCATGCATCTACCGATACTACTGAAGAAATTGTCCACTGTCCCAGGCAATTTAGAAATTAAACAACTCCTACTAAAAAAGGAGCAAGTTTCACTTCTCAAATGACTGGAGCAGGCTAACTAGTCCCTAGAATAAATTAAAATAAAAGAATATTACAGCAACCTTTCTCATTTTATGAGGTTAAGCGTCCTGCAAGTTATCCACCTTCTCTAAAATAAGTATTCAAACACCAACAACCAGCACAGCTATCTGTGACAGCAGTGAAATCAGCAAGAACACGTCGTTCATCCTTCTTAAATATGTCCTTTTGGTTTTCTTTGGCTTGGGGAGGGAAAAAAAGTTAAATTTAATCTAAAATTCACAAAGTTTGAACAAATACAATGACAATAATTCCAGCACTGCCCGGATTAACTACTCGTAAGAACTAAAATCTGGCAACGTATGGCTAATTCTGCTTCCATCCTCTTCTATGTTGGAGAAAAGAATGGAGGGGGAGGTGAAAAGGAGGAAACAACATTTTTTTGAAAATTCCTGAAACCAAATACTTTACATTTCAAAAACCACTTACAAAACCAAGAGGGTTGTTCTTGGACCCCTGCTAAATCATTCCTTTATTTACAGAGCAAAGCTTCATGAAATCAACTTTCTGAAGTTGAGTTACAGGCTACAGTGAAAACAAGTCTGCCAAATGCCAGCAGCAATAGTTTGGCTACTAGATTAAAAACTTCAGAGATGCTTTTGAAATAGGACAAAACACTATGCTGCAATATAGTTCTGTTAAATACATTGAGCAAGTATAAGAAAGGCAACCTAAAAACCCCATCCAAATTACGTGGACAGGAACCATTTAAGGAAAACAGAAACTGTACCTGAAAGAAAAGCCAGTTTTTTCTTCAGAATGGGTAATATTACTGAAGCTTCCATTCTACTTCAGATAATTTTCACCGCTCTGAAACACAAGAAGTTAAAGTTGTCAAGTATGGGAAATCAATTACCACATTTCAGTAAAATGAGCACTGGCCAAAACACTTTTGTACTCTTGAAGGAAGTATAGAGCACCGTAACACAAATCCAACTTATAACATGTTCAAAGTGCTGTAAAAATTGAAGAAAATGCCAACATCAGACTCATTTTCCATGTAGATCTTTAACTAAAGATTTCTTCCTGCTCACCTTAAAAAAAGAAAATCAAAGCAGAATCTCAGCCAAAGACACAGCGATAATTTATTTAAGAGTCCCATTTCCCAACCCCATTAAGCAATTTGCAGGCAGATCATCTGTTTGGCTGGTCATTCAGGTATAAAATAAGATTAGTACTCTTTCCACTTTTACATAGTCTGTCTCATACTACTAGGAATAAAGTAGTTATTTAAATACCTCATGCTGCATTTATGTCTGGACTCTGTCATTAACCTGCAATTAGCAGGTCTTCAGTCAAAGAAAAGAAAAAAAAAAGCCAGAAAAAGTTTAACATATAGATGACATGCTTCTGCTCCCTTTTGTCTCCAAATGCGTTCTTAGCCTCATCCCATTTTCATCATCGATTTATGTACCATGATTCACTGTGACTAAGCTTCAGTGTTTCACAGATAATCAACAGGACACTAGAACTACAACGGCCTCTTCTACCTTACACAGAGTAGCAATTGGCACCCCCTCGTGAGTCTTCCTCAGTTCATATTTTTATTTATGCCCTAATCTACAACACAGTATTGTGCTCTCCCAGTAACAAGCCTCAAATTTGATTATTCACACCTTGCCATTACTCCTGCACCACAGAAGACGTGCTGCACAATTTTCAGATTTATTTATTCTTTCCAATTAGACAAACTTTCTTAAGAAAGAGATGTAGAGACAGATGAGTCATTCTCTCAGGAAACTGATGAAATTTCAACTGTGAAAGAATTAAGATACAGTCTGCTTATATCCACAAGAAAATCCCAACAACACACACTGCTTCTTCAGAAACTTGTTTTACACTCAAGTAGTATTTTTTTCTTTTCCTAAATGTCACATAAAAGAAATGGAAGTGCCTCACTTCACTAGATTTATGTGTGGTTAAAAGCTATTATGCAGTAACATTTCATTTACTGATAATAAACTGATTTTTGGTGTATCAAGACAATTTACTCTTTTTCAGAAATAAAGTGCTTGAGCAAACAAATAGACTTTGAGTGCTGCAACATATAATTGAGAATTATATATAGGAAATACATTAGAAGTGATTTCCTGATGACCGTTTGCTAAACGGTTACCTGTGCTTCTGAGAGGCACATTTAGAACAATTAATAATCCAATACAGATAAGATGAGCTATTATATCAAGTAAGAATATAATTAACATAGGAAAATTAAACTATGTAAAATAATTAAAAATAACCAATAGATTATTATTGAGTAAGCTAGGCCATAAAAGGAAGCAAAGAACAGTAGACAATTCTGAATATCAGGGTACAATACTACCATAAGCAGATCAGAAACAGTAAGAATTTACAAAAATAAAGGGAAGCATTTTGGCATAGACCAAATATAGTCCAAGCTGTGCCAAAAACTGCAGAGTGAACACTACCAAGTGACAAATTGCAAAAGAATAGAAACCTTTATGAAAATATAAGGTTCTGAGGGATGCTCCATACAAAATATCTTTAAAGGAAGTATTTAGTAGGATAAATATTAAGTGTGAGAAATAGATTTCTGCAAGTTCCTAAACAAAATAATAATTATAAAAAAAATATTAATTCAGAGAGAATACTATGCATAGCAAGCAATCAGAAAAATCAACCGCTGCACTTGGTAGCTACGTGCTGTACCTGGTTTCGGTCACAGAAGGTGGCAGACAGCCTGGCAGGACAAGCTGTCACCATCTGTACGGAAACACATTTCCTGCTCATCAAGTTCCACCACGAGATGGCACAAAAATCTAACTACAGGTTGAGGTTTTTCAAGAATGCCAGAGAAGTGCCAGAAAAACATATGTATGGTTTAAGGAGGCCTCTAGACTGAGTGGATTTCAATCAGGTTAGAGGAAAGATATGAGGGGCAGGTTTAGTATCTCCACCAACACCCGTTTCAGGTAGGATCTGCATCTGGAAAGGTGTGTTCAAGTCCAGCACTCAAAAAGGACAAGAGGCTACGATACAGAAAGGTGTGGAAGACCAGTACATCAAGAACTTAAGAGCTTTATAAAGTTACACCTTATGAAGCCATACGTAGCATCCAATTAGCAGAAGAGAAGGGGTTCCGTGCGCTCTTTCGGCTAAAAGAGAACAGCCAAGTTTTGGCAGTAGTAGGTTCACTGTAATACATGCTTGCCGGGAGAGGGAGCCTTGGTCATTCACATAGTGTTGGCAGAGCTGCCTCTGAAGAGCAAAGGAAAAACCCATGATGGCATTAAGGGTCAGCATGTATTTTGAAGAGATGGATTTACAAGTCACAAGGACAAAAACAGAACCCTGTAGTGCCAACACAGGGGGAACGCACACTTTATGAATCCTAACAGAGTTCTCATTTCAGCTGCGGGCTAATCCATTACAAGATAGTTAAGCATATAACACCTTATTTGTGGTATACATAAGACTTAGAAATCTTCAGGATAAGAGAAGGCCAGCAGGAGAGTTAAATTTTGGATTTAGGTAAGTGTTTTTTGTTAGATTTTTTTAAACCCTTACAGGCTGGACTGATGGGAGACAGTCACTAGGCCATGAATTCTGACCATACAAGCTGCAGCTGCATTACCCTAGGGCCCATGTAAATGCACGTTATTCCTTTTCTTGTCAAAGGAATGAGTTTCATTATGAACCAAAAGTTCAATGATTATTTTTTATGAAGCACAGACATAACAGTTCAACCACTTTTTACTGCCCCTCTCTGTTCCAAAGTGTAATGCTTCACAAAGTTAATTCCCAACCCTCTCACCAAAACCTCAGTACCTGCGTCTTTTTTTGTCAACTATATAAGTTACAGAAGGAAATAAAGAGAAATCTCAGTTTCTTGAAAGCATTGAAAGCACCAAGACAGGTTACACTTTAAATGAGTACTCAAATAAGCATCCTATTAAAACTTCCTGTATGCCTCAGACAAAAATGCTTTTTCAGGTTATGTGTTGCATAAAACACAAAGCTCAAGATGATCATTCTTGTCTCTTCATTACAACCACACTTTAACTACCCCATAGAAGCTACTTAAGAAAAAAACACTGCCAAAGTTAACATGAGGAACATGTACCTGGTAATTATTTTACCCTCTCCCCAAGGTATATTTCAAAATTACTACAGACGGTTCTGCAGCATAATCAATGAAGAGAGTACAAACTTACACACACTTCATTATCTTCATACCTTCACATAGGAACAAAAGTTTGTATAAACTTATTGACTCTAGGATGCACTTATTTCTTTGCTATTGTTAAAACATCAAGTTATTTAATATTAAAGCACTGCCTGGCTTTCTGCCGCAGTAGAAAACTGCTGTCCATCGATTAAAATAGTTCTTTTGTTGAATATTTCCTGGAACCAAAGGAAGTATTCTGTTCACAGAGAAGAGGGAACTGACTCAGAGCAATTACTGTTAATTTCTACCACCTACCCTTTGTTCCAGAAACTGCTAAAATTTTCAATTACCGCTTTTTTGTGAAAGTTTTGATGCATTCCATCTAGAAGGAAATTCTCACCAGAGCAAGTTATCAGACCATGCCAGAAAATCTTCAGAATTAAAAAAGGTTTAATATCCCTCACCATCTTCAACACTCCAGAGAATATCAGGATGAGTGAAGTTAAATACCATTTCTCTATTAGTAAGTGAAACAATTTGAAGAGAGCTGGCCTCTACTTTCCATTGGGAGCTGTCAAAGGTATTTTACAAAAGTGCACTGCTAAAAAACAGATATATTTAGTCCTATAAGTAAAACAAAGTTTTATTGTTCAGAGGAAGACAAAATGACAGACTCTTAAAATGGCCATCAAGCCTCCATTTTAAAATTAGGAAAGAATAATGAGAAACTATGCGACATCACTGTTTAGCTGAAAGGAACAGATCCAGTGTTTACTCATCAATAAAATAAAAGCATTTGGACTCATTAAAGAGAAAAGAAAAAAGCTACAGAATAAAAAAATAGGAGCACTGAAGAGAACAGACTTCACTTGAGGAAACCAAAGTACTTCAAAAATATTAGCTATATTTTATCACCTCCAAACAAAAGGCACAAGTTTCATATGCTCAAATTTTACAGACATGAAACCAAGTTAAAGAGCTTTAATCAGATTGCTGGAAATTAGAAACAATCTGGAGTACTGAATGCCCACCTCCAATATACTCAGCCAACTAAAATACCATATGCCAAATCATAAAACTTGTGTTAACAGGAAATATGCTAAATAAAAGAAATACATTAAAGAGCTGTACAGAACTCACTTAAAATGACTTGAGTTCTTCAGATAATTTTTTTTTAATCAATACAGCAATGTTCATCATCAACCACGCATTAATTTTTTTGAAGATTTCCAGAGAAATGGGGCAAAACTGAGTCCATACAGAATATTTGTATTTAAACCTAAATATTTGAAAGGTGCTTCAAATACCTGGACGAAAGACACAGCGAAAGCAAAGAGAAAACTCTGCCCGCTACCCCCAAGCATAAGCTAATACTGCTCGTGAAGAAAATTCTCTTAAATACATAATTAAATGTAATAGGAACGGATGGGAATGAGCGACGGTAAACATATCAGCTACAAATTTACCAAACAGATAAAATGCAAATAATATTTCATGCTGCACTCCACTGTGGAATCAAATCATGGCTACGCAGACTTCATCCCCTATTATTTCTAGGCTCTGGAAAGACTGTAATGACACTGCTTTTACCCAATACAGTTTAAAAATCTTAAAAAAAAGAAACACACACCTATGTGTACAACATGTATAATTTATGATTAATAAAAGCATCTCATCTGCATTTGCTACTACACATCTTCAGTCTCATATAATAAAAAATAAGTAAGAGCAGATGTCCAGACACTATTGAAACAGAAGGGAGAGGATAAAGAGAAGCAGCTCATGGACTCGCAATTGACTAGAGGACCAGAAGAGAGACACCCTGAAGATGTCAGAGAGAACCTGACTCTGCAATTAATGTGTGTTTTCTTCCTAAGTGATCCAGCAGGAACCATGCCACAAAAAGCATTAAAAATCAAAATGAATCCATGCTCAAGGAGAATTAAGACAAACATGATTACACAAATTCTTTGGGTCTGAAACACTTAATACTCTCAGTATGTGGAGCAAGATCTTTAAATGGATTAGTCTGTTCACAAACATCCCCTGTCAGTTTCAAAGAAAGAGTAATTTCATCATTCTCTCACCATATACCAAGCAAGAGAACATAGCTGTTCTGTTAAATACAGGACTAGAAGAAGTCTGCTTTCTACTCCTTGGTCTGCTGTGAAATACACCTACGGCTTTCAGCAAGCCATTTATCCATTTTAGTCTTCCTTCGATCTCTCCATCTGTAAAATGGAGCTGTTATATATTAATTCCCTCTTTATAAAAGTATTGGGATGTTTTATTCAGCAACGTTTTTAAAAGACTTGAGAGATTATAAGAAACTCTATAGATCTGCCTATAAATAACCAAGAAGCAGATGGGCAGCTACATTCAAAACTGTAGCAGCTTGCAAGTCCTGGCACAAACAATAGTGCAAATAACAATAGACATGCTGAAATACTGCACAAAAAAGAAAAGCCTCAATCACATACACTGATTTTTTTTTTTAAATCAGCTTCTGAATTCTCAGCCTTCAAGATTAACAGCTTCATTCCCTGAAGCCACCATGCAAGTTTTTTCAGATGGTATGTTCAACCCACAAAGCACAAAGTTCACTTGTTCCACATGGAAGTAAAACCTGTGTGCATAAGAAACAGAAAGCTGAACAACACAAATATCTATGTAGCTTATTGTTCCATCTTCCTTTGAAGCTAGCTTAGAGCTGTGGGAGAGAGGGCATGTAGGTGTCACAAAGTCAGGGAGAAGACAAATAAAAGCATCGCCATATGACTGCTGCTACCCCAGGGTAATCTGAGAAATACACCAAACAAATGGCCCTGAAGAGCAGACAAAAGCGGTAAACATTCATTCATTGATTTAGTTTGTAATTAAAGAGCACATAGGCACTGCGTTACTCAGCTGCACAGTTTCAAAATAACAATAAGACCTGACAGATGAACAGACACTTAGGTACTCAAATGCAGATGACGACCAGTATGTTTAGAAGCTGTCACGTTTAAATGCTAGAGCCCTGTAAGGCCTCACACATATAGAAATGATCAAATCACAGTTTCAGCTTTCTGAACGGCTTCATTCAGTTATAAGCAGATTATTTTCCTTTTGATCAACAGACTTTCAAAAGGGCATACTGAAGTTTTATGTTGTGCCTGATTTTCAAGTAGTACACAAAAAAGATGCTCCTGCTCTTCCACAAGGAATTCATTCATATCAAAGGATTAAGCAAATAAAAATTACAGACCATATAAATTTCATCAATATGCAAGCTTGTTTAATTTTAAGGCAAAAAACAAGCATCTCTATCAGTTCCATTACAAACAAACAGTTACTACTCTAATTCAGCAACTTTTCACAGCAGATGTATGCATGGGTTGAAAAAAAAAGTGTCCAACTTCAGGTTAATACTTGGGTTAACAACGTGCTAGGTTATCATCCAAAACATATTGCCACAGCCATACCAAACTGAAGCTTGGAAGCAGTACTCCATTTGTTCTGCCCCATTTTCAGTCGGATGCTTAAGTGTTAACTTATACCCTGCGTCTGCTAAGTACTTCTAATAATAGAATTTAGAAGAGCCCTCTCCTGTTAACTACTTCCTCTGTTTAACTTTCTGGGAGAAGTGAAGTAAAAGACCAGTGGCAAAAAGGAGTGATGAGCAATGTAATGAACAGTGAGACAGCAAATGGAGAACTGATGAATAAGAGAGGTTATGCCATCAGGGTAGAAAAAGTCACTGTTCTCATAAGTTTACTTTGATCTCAGTTAAATACTCATTTCACAGAATGGGAGCCCTTTCGCTCTGCTTTACAGCAAACGCCAAAGGGAAAGAAAGCAGAGTACAGAGCCCAGCAGCCATATAACTAAGAATCCATGCCAACATTTGCACTTATAGCTATGAAACATGACACCCACACCTCAGGCTTTTCATACAAGAAGGGCAAGCACAGGACAGTCTAAAGCAATTAGTACTCTCAAATAACACTTCTTTGGATTCATCAAAGGATGTGTCCACAGATAGCAGCTCTAAGCAAAAGATTAGGCAATTTGCCCTAATCCAAAGAAACACGCAGAAGGCTGTAACGATGCTACAGCGTATGATACACCAAAATGATAGCTTGCTTGAGTCTTCTAACTTTTTCAGGCTCAGGCAAAGCCAAACACATATGGCATATGTTAAATTGCAGCAGTTTCCAGGCCTCTTCTATTCAGAATAAAAGAGAAAATAAGTCTCAGGTTTTGAATGTGTCTCCACATTTCCTTTTCGGCCACACTTACAGAAAGAGACTTTGTGCTTACCTTTCTGCAGAATTCTATAGCTCGCCCTTGTAGGTTGCTACCACAGGCAACAGCAGAGTCAGATCTACTTTCTTCCCTCTCTTGCAACACACAGCCAATATAGTATAAGTTGCAGTCATCTGGCACGGTCCCAGCTGACATCAGAGCACAAAGTGACCACAAAGCAACATGATGCAATTTGGGAGGTGGCTTCTTCCATCCCATTCTATGTTGCAGTAGGTCAACTGAAATGCTATGTTCAAAGCATAGCATGGAAATTTTCTGTTCCTCATCACACCAATGAGAACCACAGGTTCAGCTCTTAAAATTTTACTTAGTTGGAAGTCACGGGGAAAGCAAGACAGAAATCGCACAGCCTGTAAATCCTCACGGATATGGTTTCAGAATCACAGGCTAAAAAACCATCGATGAATAGTAGAATAAAATGGCATACTTCTTCCCCAGCTCATTCTCCTGAAAAAGCCAGCAGTCCCAAAAACTTTTTATACCAGTTCTTAAAAATACTGACCAAAAGCAGTTTGTGATGAAAGACCACAGATAGCAAGCACTTCAATACTTCATAAATCTAACTAAAGAGACAGTAGGAGTAAAAATAGTGGACAATTCCAGGCCAGAACTGGCCAAGTCAAGAGTCAAAGTCAAAAGACAAACAGCTGCACTGATGAGTGCAAGTGCTGGCAGTCTGGAGTTTAAAAAAAAAAGAAAAAGAAAAAGAAAAAGAAAGCTTTCCTCTGGGGTGCAAGATCAGAACTTCTTGTTCCTTTTATAACATTTACATAAGAGAATCAAGTTCTGCAACCTCATAACAATACAGCAACAGCCCTGGCTACAAGTGTGTGTGGCTCAGACTCTCAGAAACATTTTTGTGCAAGAGGTCAGACCAATATAGTGATACTACAACTGTATGGAAGCAAAAAGAAATGCACTTCTAAACTTGGGGTGGGGGAGGGGAGCGAGGGGGAAGACCAGAAAAGGAGGACAGTTTTGAGAATAAATTAGGAGCAGGGTGTGGAGACATAATCATAGTAGACGCAGTAAAAGCATTTGTCCTTCTTAGGTAGAAAAAACAGACTAGAGGTAAGAAGAAAACAAATGATGCCTAACAGCTTTAACAAAAGCTAATAAAAAGACTGCTTACAAGTCTAGAAAAGCATGTTTTTGATACCTTACATAAAAAAAGTTCTCAGCTCAGAGTAAGATGTTGTGTGAGCCTTGAAATATCCTGAGCAATTCTAAATCTTTTCTTAAATGGGAATGGCTTGCTAGTTTTTCTTCCCCACTGCACAATCCATAAGGTAGTCATAAAAGGGATAATAATAAAAATCCCTGCAGAAAGAATATGTAAATAATTTGAGAACTTTGCTAACCTTAACCAAACAGGCAAATTAAAAAAAAAAAAAAGAGTTGAGGCATAAGTGACTTGTTCATCTGCATTTTTAAGTTTCAAAATATTTCAGGATTAAACAAATTATGACCAAACAAATAAAAACAACTTTGCTCCTCTTGAATTACTGTGTATGAGAGAAATACATCTTTCTCTACTGTGAACAGTTCTTTCCTTCAATTTTTGTGCCCATCTTAAAGATTCTGAACCTTTCTTCTGCTAGCCACAAATCAAATTGGCTGCAACAACCACCTGCAGTAGCTATAGCATCTCTCTCCCGCTCCCTCAAAATAAAAGCGATAACATTCCACTATCATAAATAAATAAATGGGCACATGTTTCAGAGAAGATAAAAACAGGCGCGCTAAACTGCTGCCTGGAGCATCTTACATGGAAGTAACACACTTGCATATTCGCCAGTGATGTAACTTGTAGGGCTGGAGCAGAATGTAACACCAAAGAAATAGCAAATACTACCTTAGCATGGAGAAAACAGACAACCCACGTTCAGAGGGTACACTGATAGGAAAGAAAACATTTTCACAAACACCTAAAAGTAGACAAGCCGTGACGCCTTTCACCTATGTATTTTGTGTCCATCCTGACCCTCTCTCTTAAGAAGAGCCATTTATTTTCTGACGTTCAGCCACACATATCATCGCGTGACCAAAACATCCTATTACATTAACATCAAACCCATTCACCTTATTCTTCCAGAATTTTTTTTTTGGCTTTATTTGGTCTGGCCAACGTTTATCCTTCACGAGTTCTCTCTCAGAACATCTCTCTCAAATTCAACTCTGCCAATACCACAGAAGTTTAGCTTGACTTTAAATTCTCATGCGCTTACTACAACTACTTCCCTTGAATCATTGCTTCTGTCAAGCACTAAGTCATACCTTCATCTCCTCTTAACTACTGTAATTTCCTTCTTAATGGATTCTTTATGTCGCAGCGTTCCAAACTTCAGCTTGTCCAAAATGCAGCAGCTCATCTTCTCACCTAGAAACAGGAAAACAACACTCCATATTCATTTTCACTTGCTTCCTCCTCCAGTAGGGTCCCCTGTAAGCAAAACTTCACTTCAGAATCTCTGATTCTCATTTAGTCTAGAGGGTAGAAAGCTTTGCGAGTGGATTTTTCTGCTTGCTCATTCAGGATGCTCACTCTCATTTCTCTTCTCTATGCAAGCTTGTCAACACTATAAGAACAGCATCAATCTTCTTCAATGCTATTAAGTTTTTTTTTCTTTCCTCACCTACAATCATATCTCCTAATTTAAATTAGAATTTACAAATCTCCCATCTACCACTTGCTCATCCTCTAATACATTAGAAAAATAATACTGTGTGAGCCACTGTCACCAACACTATCTCATACACAAGCTGTATCATTTTAGTGAGTTTAATATCTATGAATTAAGATGTCTAAAACAAACTATATAATGTCTTAAATAAGTGAAGCTTTGGTTTTGTTACACCAGCTTTTAAAGGTTTTACAAAGCCACAAGACCAAACGCAAGTAGTATGCACAAGATAAACAAGGCATGAGTTTGAATTACGGCTTAAATACATTTGCGCAACACTAGTTGCAAGGATGTTGTCCAAGATGTCTGTCTGTATTCATCAGAACCAAAAAAACTTCATGAAGATTTTAATGATCTCATTTCGGGAACAGATCGATCTTACTTACCATTTGCATTGGAATATCTGTTAAGGATAAAAGTTTGAGCTCTGGATCCTGGATTCTGAAAATTTAAATGAAAAAAATGTATTTGACTATATTTTTAGAAGCTAATGCTCCATACAAATCTTAATGTCTTTGGAGACTGAAAATAAGAATTTATTATGAAGTTACATGATAAGGGAGTCAATGTTTCCATTATAGATTCATAAATACTTGTAAGTTAGGCATTCATCCCATATTTTCCACCAAAACATATGGTAGACATCAACATTGTTTATAATTAGCAGGCAATGCTCCTGAGGCAGCACCGGAAGCAGTGGGAAAGTAACAAGAATCAGAGTCCTTGTAGTACGCTTTCAACCAGAGGTAATCCACACAGTTTCAGGCAAAAGGAAGAAAAGAACAAAGTCAGTGTTTTTTGTGGAAAGAAAAAGATATTCCCTCAAACTAAATGAATCACCGCTATAAAATAAAATAAAAAATTGTATCTTACATTCAAAATTTAAATAGTCCCTATTTGTACTACAAGATACAGGATTAAAAGATAAACCCCAGCAGATGCTTCAAGACACACATGGAACCTTGATCAAATTCCACCCATCAGAGAAACCAAAGAACACAAATTTGTGTGGACTGTTTCACAGGTGAAGCAGAGAACCTAAACACACTTCACAGGTTTCACATTTACTGAAATGTAGCAGTCATTACAGCAATCTCTCACAACAAGTTTTTAATTTAAAAGTGTTATATTAAGAGATGTTTTCTAGTCAGGCAAATAAACCAGAAAGATGGAGAAGGCGGCAAGGGTACACAGCCGCAGATTAGACAAAGAATATCAATACTAATTGCTCAAGATAGTTTGAACAGAGAAGGGTGGTAGAAATCCTGTGACAATGCCATTTCTTACCACTCCTAGACCTAAAGCAGGCTTTGCTTACTTCATCAGAAGCTGGCTATTAAAAGTATTCCATGTTCCCCTGCCCACTCAGTCACTGGGGAAAAAAGCATTCCTCTTCATGCTCTATCCCTAAGGACTCTTGATAATCACATAGCGCTATGTTATTAAAGTTTACCACTACTGTATTTAGCTCGTCTTCCCTAAGTACCTCCAGTTCTTGTCCCCTACTAATGCTCCCAAAGCAGCAGCAAACTGAAATCAACCTGAACTTCACCTTTGATTCCTTTTTTTCCCCTCCTACACTGAAAAGCAGCAAACAGCAAAAACAGTTTGTTTCCCCTGTTTACAGAGGGAAAACAAACAGAGAAACAGAGAAATATAATTCCAAAGCTAATTCAGAATTATACTCTATAACTCAAGAAGATACCATGGTATCAGTTCTTAAGTTAAATACAAACATTATTTTAACAATAAATATAATAAATATTAATTTCTTTTTCTTCTCTTAACTTCTGACTCTAAGGAAAATGGTAGTAGAGATCACCTAAACACCAAATAAACATCAACTATTATCATGTTACTTTAGGAAAAAAAATTTGCCATGGCTGCTTTCCAGGATTTTCCAAGAAACAGCAATCTGTGATGTAAAAATGCGTACAAAATTTGAAAGTTCATCACTAAAAAGAACACTAATGACCTACAGACTGTTTTTCCAAGTAAAGCATGACCAGAACCCTGACAGCAAGCACTAGGCCTCTCTGACCAAGCTCTGGTTGTACTGTGGTCCACCTTCCCCTTTCTCTCATTAAATATCCACTCAGTGTAGACAATGCGAGTAGTAAGACAATACGACTTCACAAAAATACGTAAATTCAGGAAACTGAGAGCCCTTATTAGGGTGCAAGTCCATCAGCATAGCTGTTGCTGTAGCACAATAACATTATTCATTGTGCACTATAAACTGTACCTTAGCAGACAATACCAGGGGAAGGGAGGCAGGGGGGAACCCAATACTTCCTTATCACAACGAATTTTAACGAGTGAACAAAGTCTACATTCAGTCATTAGTACAATGCAACGTTAAAAACGCAGAGAGCCAGTATTTTCTTCGGGATAAAGCAAGATGAAAGGACAAGTGCCAAAGCGTCCACTAATGCCGATCCATGTGAGCATTACCAGTTCTGCTCCTCCAAAAAAAAAAAAAAAAAAAAGGCAAGCCACCTTCCGTGATCACCTCGACTCTCAATAGTTGCTTCCCACACGTTTGTACGCACTGGTTAAGAAACCAGCACTTGAGAATATCTTCTTCCTCCAATTGCCTAGCTAAAAACCGACGGGCGCGCAGCACGGGAGAGCAGAGCTATGGGAGAAAAGGCAAAACTGCCAGACAATGGACCTGTCAAAAACCAGAGAAAAGGCACCGGCGGCGCTGAGCAACCCGCAGTGAATCAGCCCCGACCGGGTGGCGCTTCCCCGGCCCGGCCCGGCCC